CTTGAGTAGTTGTGAACTGCTTGGCTGGTAAACACACTCACGCAGCTTTAGCACATCTACCAGCCAGGCAGTTCACAGCTACGGACTGATACACCTAATAATAATAAAACGTACCTAATTAGAAAATCCCGACATTTTATATGTCCGGTATTTTCTCAATTTGTTTCCCCTACAGAATCCTCAAATTCCAGACTGTCCGGTACAAAAACAGACACCTGGCAACCCTACCCCCCCTTGCACCCTCCCTCCTAGCCAAATACCCTACCCCCAATCTGCTCCTGCTCCCGCCTCCTGGAGTGCCCATGCAGCGCCTTGTCCCCCAAGCCCAGGTCCAGGCTGGGCGGAGGATGCAGTCGGGTGAAACACTGAAAATTTATTCATTTTTAATTCTTTTTTTTTTATATGTGTTAATATTTTTGGGCTGCAAAAAACAGTACTGGAAAAAAAAAAAAAAAACAGGTTTCAACTAAAGTAAAAAGTTTGGGAAACCCTGGTCTAGCCAGCTTTCTGTCCATGTTACAGTCCATTTATCCAATCCATATTCCCTTAACTTGCTGGCAAAAATATTGTGGGTGACTGTATCAAAAGCTTTGCTAAAGCTGTCACTGGGGACTTTGGGAGGACCAGAAACAACTTATTTGACTATTCATTTGCTTAATGAATATACAAATATGCAAATGGATGTTACTGGTCCTCCAAAAGCTCGTGAATGGATTTACTGGTCCCTGTGTCAAAAAGTTTGGGAACCCCTGCCTTAAGCTGTTTTTGTCATCAGGAAGGCACTCAAAAACTGAAAGCTGATCAAATGTGTCTTGTGTATTTAGTGAGGAGGGCGAAATAGCTCACGATTCTGAGTTGAAGGCTGGTTGATGAGTACGCCCTTCTGCCCATCAGATCCAGCTTCTTCCCATCTTTGTCATAAGGGACTGTACGCATGGCCTACTGCTTGCCTCTCTGACTGACCACATCCACAACCAATGAGTTTGGTGTGGGGTGTGAGAAGAAGAAATCGTCGCCTTGTGGGGCTCCAGAGTACTTGCGGACTGATCTTTTGGAATTTGGGGAAACTGTTGTTGGCATTTGCCATATGGTTTTGGCAGGATCCAGGAGTGTTTCGCTCATCGGGATTGCTAGCTTATCCAGCATGCCTCTCCTCATGCTGGATATTTGCCAGCTTATGTTGAGTCTCAGGCTTAGCTGACAGGGATCTCTCCAGTGTGTCTGCCACACGTTAAAGTCACTGAAAGGATTTAAAATCACCCCGAGTTCGGTGGTGGGGACATAATTGTATCGTCTGGAGATGAGGGTTAAATGTGTGTAGGCAGGGGTGAATCAGCTGTTTGCTCTGCCCCCGTGATGTCCACCTCCTCTTCCTCCTCTGAGAAACATGACCGATCAGGTGACTGGGCAGGGGGGGACCTGTGGTTTAGGAGCTGTTGGTAGGTGCTGGGGTTGTTGTGTTCTATATGCTGCCCCCAGATCCCAGTACAGCAGTTGGGCAGTATGGGTAACAGTAGCCATTGTGGCTGTTGCCACTGCTGAATCTTCTGTGTGGGCTTAGGGGAGGAACTCCTAGGGATATGTATCTGGAACAATTTGTTGTCATCACTGTCATTCAGTAAAGGTGGTGCCAAAGCAGGCATTATAGAGAAACTGAACCTTGGAGTATTTGGGGTGCCATCTCTCCGAAAGAACGACATTTCCGGTACCGACGCTACAGTTACCTCTGCTGTGGTGGTAAATCGAGGTATGTGGGCTTAGGGGAGGAACTCCTAGGGATATGTATCTGGAACAATTTGTTGTCATCACTGTCATTCAGTAAAGGTGGTGCCAAAGCAGGCATTATAGAGAAACTGAACCTTGGAGTATTTGGGGTGCCATCTCTCCGAAAGAACGACATTTCCGGTACCGACGCTACAGTTACCTCTGCTGTGGTGGTAAATCGAGGTAGCGGTTGACATTTCCATCATTGGCACAGCAGTGAGGATTGCGGCAGTGACAGCTGTTTGCTATGTGCATTCACATGCTTGTTCGATGCCAGAAGCCCTGTAGGCGGCTGCATTGCAGTGCTCAGTGCTGGGGCTGAGCGTGGTCTTGCCAGTACCGTGTGTGCTTGCTGGTGCCAGCATAGAGCTTTTGTGCTTTGGCTCAGAGTGGACTTTCTCCTTGGGGTCGCAGCTTTTCTCGGTGCCGGCCCCATTTCCTGCCTGTTTCTCTGGTGCCATAGGTGGAATTGGCACAGACACAGACTTTTTATTTTAACAATGCTTCCTTGCTGGAGCGTCCGACCCCAAGAAAGAATGGGACCTCTTTTTGGGCATCTGAGCCCTTTCCTAGTCCCTGTCTATATGTGGTTTAATGACGAAGAATAATTTTTTTTTTTACTATAGTAATGAACTCAATTATGCTAATAAACTAATAACCAACTATAAACTCTAAGAAGTAATAAGGTAAAATTGAGGGCAACTGCTCTGCTGCGACTGAAGCCAGCGGCAGTCAGAAAAGAAAGGAGGGGGCGTTTGGCTAGCAGGATAGCCGTTTCAAATGTTGCACACCACGTGCACAGCCGACCGGGACATCGCTGTCAAAAGTCTCTGACAAGAGGTACAGCGGCGCTGGCACACCTAACGGGTGGCACACCCTTGAAGAAACAGTTCACAACAATCCTTCAAGTCCATTACCACAACACAAAAGTTCATCTTTAGCTAGCTCTGGGGCTCTTCTGTCCCAGTCTGCTCTCTCCCAAGTAACCACTCCCTACCCTTCCTCGCTGGAGCTCAGCGAGCTTCAATTCTCTCCTTCTCTGGATCAGAAAAATCATCAACAACCCCTCATTGGATTCAATTGGCTCTCCCCTGTTCACTCAGTTTCTTGCAGGCACCTCCTGCTCCCCATAACCTCTGCCACAGCTTCCTCTGACTGCTCCCTTACCTGTGTTGACTCATTTGTGGGTAGCCCAACTTCCCCTGCAGCTGTCTCCTCCCTTATAAAGCCAGGTGCTGTCCCTTACGCCCAGCTGGGCAATAGGTAATCAGGTGCACTAGACCCTGTTTCCTCTTGAAGGTGCTAGTCATCTTGCAACTGTTTCACTTACACTGATTGTGTCCAAGTGTTGTCGGAAGGTCAGTTCTGCTTCCTTACTAGGCAAAAACAGCTTTCCATGTCGGCTATTGGGTGGTAGAGTCGTGGGAACTGCAAAGAGCCCACCGTCTGCATCAGCTCCTCCAGAACTCGAGGGACCAGCTGCCAAGAGAGGTCTAGAGAGGTTTCTCACACCTGGAAGATTTCAATTAATAATTTAATAAAATAAAAACTAAGCAAATTATATTCAGTAGATGGAGAACAGGACTGGGAGTCAAGATTATATTCCTGGTTCTGCTATTGACTCACTGTGTGGCCTGGGAAACTCACAACCTTTGTGTTTTAGTCTCCCCAGCCATACAAGAGGGATACATTTATCTACTTCACAGGGATATTACCACACATTCATTTGCTTTGAGTTCCTTAGATGAAAGGAGTTAACAAAAAGCAACACAAATACAGACACTGACATCTATGGATCTGATTCAGCGTTTCACACAACTCTGCTGAGAAGTGTATCTTTTTTTATCTCCTGAAACAGTTGAGTGCAGGTTTCCCCAATAGTAAATGTATTCATTAGCAAAAGAAATGTAATGTAAATATGGATTCAGTGTCCAAAAACTCTGTATGGTTTATTTCTGATTCAGATTGATACTGTATTTGTAAAATCTAAAGTATGAAAAATAATTGAGTAGCAAGGTAAATACAAAGGTTCAGTCCCCATGTAAGGTTCTGATGACAGTAAACTGAGACACCAATGCTCAGCTCACTATTCCCAGCAGTATGAGGCAAAACATTTTTGCATAATTGAATAAGGTTATCACGATTTAGCGAGATTTTTCATTTTTTTGAAAATTAAATTAAATGAAAAATATCTTTGTTTGGGCAACAATGCAGTGTCACAATCCAAGCAAACAGTCAATTTTGAAAACACACATGCTCTGCAATCCAATACTGCTAATGTGCTATGACGACTGGAAAGTGTGAAATTTATGTTGTGCATATCAAAGCAGGTCTCTATATAACAGATTATTATAATGCATAGCACATTACTTAAAGATGCTTTGAAAAAACATTAGTCCTGATTTACCTAGTTTGTAATGAATACATTTTCTACATTTAACAAATGCAGACACTCAGATATACATGAGATAAAAGCCTAAGGCCAGATTTTAAAAGATCAGCACCCAGTAAATTCAGCCCTTTTAAAAACATAGCTACACTTGTGGATGCTGAATTATCCTAAGAAATCTATTTCAAAATTTTGAAGAGCTACTGAGCAATACTTTCCATTGACTACAATGAAATGTTTTTAAAAAGACCAAATCAATTCACAGTCATCTGGCTAAGGCCACACAATAAGTCAGTGGCAGTGATGGGATTGTGTTCAGTTAACTAGGTCACACAAACTTTTCTATAAAATCACCCAGAGGTTTTGGTTACAAACCACAAGAGGAAAGCCCAAATGTTTTATGATGCTATGAGTTACCTATTTTTATTTAGAGTTAAACAAAATTGGTGGCAAAGTATTTTCTCACATAAAGTAGGAAAAAGGGGTGTCAAATGTACTGCTACCAAATTTAAATTTGTTTAAACTTTCTAGTTCACCCTGTATCTCATCTACTGCTCTGCCCTCTTTTCCTGCCGTGTAAAATCCCTTCTCTCTTCATCCTGGCATCTTTTGCTGCTGCTGTGAAGCTGTCTGTTACTCAAGGCTTTCAATTTCTCAGTGTGCATAAGTTGGCTTTTAAATTTAGCTTTTCCAATAGAAAATACAACTCAATTTAGCTATAAAAAATCATTAGAAGCCAGAAAAACGCAATATAAAAAGCTCTGTGAGAAACAACAGCTAGGAGGCTCATTTCTAAAAATGTGACCATTTGTTTTCCAGCTGCCATTCTACTACAGACTTTTAATAGCACTTATGCATGGATGGGAGGGTGTTTAATTGTGACTGTAAGTGTATACTAACAAAGTTGAAATCCATACCACTGAAAATACAGTGGAAAATGTCACGGCAGTCTCTGGAAGTCCTGGAAACTTCGATAATCTTAGCCTTAATTATGGACGGTTTCCTTTGAAGGATGGAAAACTGGGGTAGTGACTTGGACCGAAGGTATGATCCACTGAAGTCACTCGCACGGGTGCTAACCTGAGGAGCTGGAACTAACACTGGGAGACAAGGTCTTGTTGCGAAGGGCAGTTTGGTTCCGGGTACAGCCTGGACTCCTGGTGCTGATGGCAATCACCTTCCCAGGAGGAGTCAGTGATTGCTCTTCGTGAGCAGGCTTTATAGGGGATGTGGCGACAGAGTTCATCTCAGGGATCTGAAAAACAAGTATAGTTGTTCAAAAGGCTGCCAGAGCGTCACAAAATTCTGTGTTTAACAAACCTGCTCCCTAGGAACTTAAAATCTTATCAATTATAGCGGGACTGATCATCAGGTTTCTGCACACCATATATGAAACTATTACTGTGTTAGAATTATGTTGGCATTTAATAGGCCAGCTCTTTGGGATCTTGTCAGTAAAGGACACAGTGGTGGAAGACGTTTTTGTAGCTTAAAGAAAGTGTCTGCTTTTAGGTTCAGTAGCAAATCCTGACAACTTAATGACATAATCTAGTTGCATCCTTTGGGTGCAAAGATATACAAACAACAAAATTTGATTGTAAAGTGAGCTATTCTGACTTAGCAGCAAAGGTGATCTGTTAGGAAAAGAAACGGGCAGCATTTCAGATGTCAGATTATATCATAATAAATACCAGACACAGATGACATGGCTCTCTGCAAACGTTCCAGGCATACACAGTTTATTTCACTATAAAAGTTGATGATGTTTGCTAGCAAAGGCTGTCTTTAAAGTCTGTATTGTAGCCACACGCATACAATTATCTCCTACATGTAAACATAATGCAATTTGTTACGGTTTGTTTTATGTTGATAATCTTCATTTAAAGGAAAAAAATCACAGCAGGTAACCATTCAGGCTTGGTTACATACAGTCTTGTGAAATGGGGCAATCAATGCATCTTTTGTTAAAGCAGATTTTTATCTTTCACCACAACAGCATGGATTAGCCACACAAGCCATGCTGAATTACAGTTTGAATCAGTGATGGCTCAGCTGCTCTTGAAATTCACAGCATCTCACCTGCTATTGGTAAGAAGCTGCTCTGGTGGGAGCCAGCTGAGGCGCTCCGCTATCGGCACTGTAGTGTGGCTTATTGTACACTCCCCCAGCCGGGCTCCTGCTGCAAGCTGGCACTGGCAGCCCCACACGTGTGAAGAGGGGCAGCTAAGGGGACACTCAAGGGGAAGTGACGCACTCCCAGCAGGGCTCCTGGTGCGGCTGTGCCTGCCCTGCTGCCCCTGTTTTGCTGGACGTACTGTTTGTGGGGTGCACCGCTGCCAGCCTCCCCGGAGAAGGGGAAAGGAGCAGCAGGCCAGAAGGTCTCTTGGACCACCACAGTTTCCTACAGCAGTGCCAAGGCACAGCTGGCCCACAACTCCCTTGTGGCAGTGCAGTGAATAGGAGCAGCCACACAGGAACCTATCCACCAGCCAAGTAAGATAGCCCAGCAGCAACCAGACTGCCACAGTCTCCCCCACTACACGACTCCCCCACCCATTTCCCTGACTCCTTTTGCCCCTCCCCACATACTCCTGCCCTATTTCCTTGTACCTCTCCTCACACCCCCCAGCTCCCTGACCTGACTCCTGCACCCCTCCCAACACACCTCAGCCTTCTCCCCTGAGCTCCTCACACACCCGACTCCTGCATCCCCACCTATACCCTCTACCCCTCGCCATCCACACACACTTAAATTTCTTACAGGTACTGTTGTATTGCAATCCCCCAATTCCTTGCTTTGAACCCCCCCCCCCCCCCCATAGTACTGTAAAAAATTGAAGTTACATTCATTCTGGTCACAGCTGACAAACTTGATCTCCAGTGGAACTCAAGTGCCTCCTAACAGAAATATTTTACCTTCTCTATAGCTATATGATGAGCTGCAACAGATTTAAAAGAAAAAAAAACTATAAGGAGTTTCCAGATATATAATCATGGTGATTCAAAAGTAGGCATTCTGTGAGATAATGTTTGTCATCTCCCCAAAATACAGTCAATATGAGAATGTTTACTTTTTACTGTCAGCCATCGTCCTCTAAACTGGCTCATGTCAAACAAAGAAATGGGTGCATCTAGCCTTTTAAGTTTTATTATTTGAAAGGCTTGCTGGTTTTTCCAGGATCATTCCCTACCTTGATAAAGATATGAATGAAGCTGAAATGTCAGGAATGTACTGACGCTTCAGAGGGGTAGCTGAGTTAGTCTGTGCAGATACACTTAAAAAACAACAAAACAGTCTGGTAGCACTTTAAAGACTAACAAAACATGTGGATGGTATCATGAGTTTTCATGGGCACAGAAGAAGTGGGCTGTGCCCACGAAAGCTCATGATACCATCTACATGTTTTATTAGTCTTTAAAGTGCTACCAGACTATTTGTTGTTTTTAGGAATGTACTTGCAAGTTAATGTCTAAAGCTTCTCTTGGCTGTTTTTAAGAGGTTGTTCCTCTTTCTACTCTGCATCTTCTCAATTTCATAATGAATGTGGCTCTCCTAGATGTCACATGTCTCCAGGTGTGAAGCTTTTATCACTAACAGCTAGGAGAAGAGAGTGTAAGGTGCCAGACCACAGTCAAACCAAAATTAAAGGGCACTAGAAGAGATTAGGGGTTTGGAATGGTTGCCATATGAGGAGAGAATAAGACGACTGGGACTTTTCAATTTAGAAAAGAGACTAAGCGAGGACATGATTTTATAGACCTCTATCATGACTTATTTTTCCTTCTTTCTAGAATGGTCCTTCCCTGTCATGAGTTGTCTTCTTGCTTCTAGTGTATTTGTGGAGTGTCTTCTTGTTACTCTTTACATCTTTATCTAGTTTGAAATTTGGAATGGTTGCCATATGAGGAGAGAATAAGACGACTGGGACTTTTCAATTTAGAAAAGAGACTAAGCGAGGACATGATTTTATAGACCTCTATCATGACTTATTTTTCCTTCTTTCTAGAATGGTCCTTCCCTGTCATGAGTTGTCTTCTTGCTTCTAGTGTATTTGTGGAGTGTCTTCTTGTTACTCTTTACATCTTTATCTAGTTTGAAATTGTTTTGTGCTTTGGCCTTTCTAATTTTGCCCTTACATCCTTGTGTTGTTTAAATTCATCCTTTGTAATTTGACTTAGTTTCCATTTTTGTAGGACTCCATTTTTTAGATTATTCACAATTCCAGATTATTCAGAATGATTAGGGATTTGGAACAGGTCCCTTATAAAGAGATATAAAAAAAGGCTGGGACTTTTCATCTTAGAAAAGAGGAGACTAAGGGGGGATATGATAAAGGTCTATAAAATCATGACTGGTGGGGAAAAAGTGAATATGAAAAAGTTATTTACATGTTCCCAAACCAAAAGAACTAGGGGTCACCAAATGAAATTAAAGGGTAACTGATTCAAAACAAACAAAAGTAAGTTTTTCTTCACACAGCGCAGTCAACCTGTGGAACTCCTTGCCAATGGTTGTTGAAGACCAGGACTCATGGAGATTAGGTCCATCAATGGCTATTAGCCAGGATGGATAGGGGTATCATCGTTAGTCTCTGTTTGCCAGAAGCTGGGAATGGGCGATAGGGGAGGGATCATCTGATGATGCCCTGTTCTGTTCATTCCCCCTGGGACACCTGGCATTGGCCACTGTCAGAAGACAGGACACTGAGCTAGATGGACTTTTGGTCTGACTCGGTATGGCCGTTCTTATGTGATAGTATAAATCTACAGTCACAATTCCACCAGGAATCAGAGTTCAGGGAAGAGCTGCTCAGGAACACAATCAGCAAAAACCCTTCTGTCTAATGAGTTTTGGCTGATAGGATCAGGTCTGCTCCTTGGTGGAGAGGCTGGGATTCTCCTCCTCAGACTTAGGAAGTTAGAACCAGATGTGAGTTCTTAAAAAAAGAAGAGAACCAAGTCTCCACCAGCAAGCAAAGCTCAAAAGACTACCCACGATCCAGCACAAATGATGAACATGCTGTTTAATTTGAAATTACTATATAAACACTACCTCTAATGCAAGTCTACTCAGCCATACTTGTTGTGTTCCACTCCCTTCCTGTGCATCACCACAATCATTTATTAAGCTTCAATCAGCTGCATCAATGAAAAGAACAGGAGGGATGGTCATCAGATGGCAGACTTTGCCCTGTAAAATCTTTACCACTGGTGGATGACGGACAAGTAAGGAACACAGACTGATTCAAGCCCAACGTTAGAGCCACAGGCTGGCAGCTGAGAAAAATCTTTTTCACATGTAAACTGAGTATATTTATTCAAGAGTCACTGAGATACAAATACATACAGCCACTATAGGGAATCACTTGCAGGGTTCACTGCTAGACAAGTTGCTTTCTATATCAATTTGGAATCAGAAGCATTTATCATCATTTTTACCAAAGCAGCAGAACGGTGGATCTGCCTGGCTCAGCCACCCAAGAGAAATCAATTTAATTTCATATACTTGGAAAAGTCAAATTAACAATAGTAATCAAGGGTTTATAGGTCTTCCTAATGGATTAATCCTAAAATGACTTAGCTTGCCACTAATCTCATGACTTAGCTGCTACAACAGCCATAATAAATATTTATCAACTTCTGAAGCTGGACACATGGAATATACTGTTAAAAGTTAGAACAGGACAAAACCCAGTAGCTGCAGCATATAGTGGAAGGAGTCTAATGCTGTTGCAAGTTGACTGGGAAGGTTTTCAGATAGAAGTCTCTAAGATCTTCATAAGGCTTACCATGGAAACAATAGGAACGAGCAATTGTCTACAAAATCAAGTGTCATGCTTAGGCATCAAGGCTAGTTACTTACTGGTTTGGGGTTGACTTCAGTGGAGATGAGTTTTAAAAGGCAGTTGAGGAGTCTTTGCTTCTGAAAGGTGGAAGATATGGGTACAGCACTGGGTTCAGATGTTTCCTCCCTAGAATCCTGGGTTTCTGGCCCTAACACAGCTAGCCAGTCATATTCCAGCTGCAGTTTGTTTGGCTTGCCCATCATGAGGTAGACTTCAGCCAATGTAAGGCTCTCAGAGGTTCGCAGACTCCACCCCTCCTCTCTGACCTGTTGAGCAAGCCGGCTTGGGTCATCCTTGAGAGGCTTTGCCGAAGGTTGTCCCTGAGGTGGATGCAGAAATGAAGGGCTCAGCTTCTCTTGAGTCTCCTCCACTACTGCATCTTGTAAATCCTTAGTAAGACCATCATGTTGCAATCCCTGGTTGTGGCTAGCTTGAGTTTCAAAGCTGGGCAGGCTACTGCCAGGCGATGCTATTCCACCTCTTGTCAGCTGTGCAGAACAAGGATCAGCTGCCTCTGCACTCTCAGATGGAAAAGTCACTGGAGAGGCACTTTCAGCTGAGTCAACAGGGTCTTTCTCTTGCAGTTTGTCTGTGCAAAAACATTTCTCTGGGACAATCAGATCCTGACAGGACTTCATATACCGAGGGAATGGATCAAGCAGAGAGAGTTCCTCCAGGTCAGGGATCTTGCTGCAAACACAAGCTGGGCTGCATGACGGTAGCTTGGTTTCCTGGTCACTGGCTTGGGTCTCCTCACCCTCGGCACGGAAAGCCATGGGGATCAGCTTCTCCAGACTCCCTCCTGGGTCCTGAAGTCCAGAAGGTGATTTTTCAAGAGAGTTTGTGATACTGAAACAAAGAGGGCCTTCTGTCAAGCCATTCTCTGGGGAGACATCTCCGGAGCATGCAGACACTTCCGCCGTAGGCTGAGAGGTTCTGCCTGGCTCTGTAGTGCTCTCTGTCCTTGTGCCACTCTTCCCCTCAGATCCCCGAGGATACTTTAGCTGCCCTCTGGCTGTCCCCTGCCCACTCTGTATGCCTAGGATTTGGGCAGGAGGCAATAAGTGAGCATCTTTTGTGTTCTGTTTGCATTTGCCAGTTTCCTGCCAATGCACTGTGCAGAACGCCTTGGAGTGGACCACTCTGGACACCTCTGGGAGAGGGGTGAGTGTGCAGTTCTCCCCGGGGAAGAGATGAAGCATCATTTTTTCCTCTGAGAGATTGCTTCTTGCTTCTGAATCTCTGCAGTCCTGAAGCTGCCGTTCTTCTAGTGTTTTACGCTACATATATTTGGTCAGAGATTACAACCATTTTATGTTACACAGATTAGCTGCAGTATCAGCCGCACATACCACAAAATGAATATCTGGCAGCCCAATTTGTAGTTTAAGAAATTAATCGCTATCTATCTCTGATTGGAGAGCTGCTTATGTTCTGTAATAAAGATTTATACCTGTACATGTTGAGAAGGGACTATACCTAAAAGATCACAATTTTTCCATGAACAGCAAGATGATCCTATATTTTAGGACAAGGTCATCAGTTTCAGCTTTCTAATTTAAGGTCACAAGGGACAATTCTCATAGTTTAGTCTGACCTCTTCCATAACACAGGCTATTGGATTTACATGAATTAATTCTTGTTTGGATTAGAGCACATCTTGTAGAAAAACAGCCATTCTTGATCTAAAAATTGTCAATGATGGAGAACCTACCATAGTTTTTAGCAAGTTGGCCCAACAGTTAATTGCTCTCACTTTTAAAATGTTAAGCTTCAACTTTTAGCCACTGGATCTTGTTATACCCTTGACTATTAGACTGAAGAGCCCTCTATTATCTAATTTCTGTTATTCATGTAGGAAGTTACACAGTGTGATCAAATCACCTCTTACCTTCTCTTTGATAAGCTAAATATACCGGGTTCCTTAAGTCTATCACTGTGAGGCATGTTTTTAAAAACCTTAAATCAATCTAGGGGCTTTTCTCTGAACCTTCCCCAATTTACCAACTTGTGCAGCAGTCTAGGAATTCCATGGCAATTTTGATTAAAATTAAAAAGAAAAGCTTTCACTGATTTGGATACAAAAATGGACTACAAAGTCAGGACAGCAGTCCCATTTTCTATATTTTCACCTTGGTACCTGTCTCCACACGCAAGCTGCTACTATGCAAATATTGTAAGGCTTTACAAGGTGAGAAAAAAATAAACAGAAGAGTGAAAGAGCTATGAAGAAGTGATAGTGGCATCCTACAAGTCTTTCTGCTAAGTTGTAAAGTTGAGAGGTAGAGATATTAAAAATACATCTTTGTAACAAATTCTGGGGCTTTGTGATGGGATTAACAAGGGCCTGAGAAGTTAACTGATATCACCTGTGAGAGGGAGCGCCAGGGTCAGTTAAGAGCGAAGCTCAGCTGGGACTGCAACATAAATCCTGGAGGCTGAAAGTAGAAGGGCCGAGCAGAGGAAAAGAGGGGCAGGCCTACCTTGGGAAGTCCTCAGAGAAACATCCTGGAGCAAGGAGTCTGACAAGAGACTAGAAGGGACAAAGTAGCCACAGGGACTACAGTAAGCACCTCGGTAAATCCAGAAACTGGGAAGTCTAATTGAGGTTGCGTAGGAAGGTCTCCATGGAAACAGCAATGGGGATGGGGGCTGAGTTGATATGGACTGCTGGGTAGAGGGGGTACCCAGGTCACAACATGGTGTAGAGGACAGGCCTGGGCTTCCCTGACAACACTGGTATAGTGGCCCTCAGCCCCAAACTGGAGTTGAACACTGTTTAGAGAAGGCATTTGAACAGGGGTCTTGTTGGACTTTGCAACTCAAAGGGTGATCTCAATTTGCCAGAAGAGAGACTGTAGCAGAACAAGTGGAACAGGCCACCCTATGTCCTGACAGCAACTCTCTCAGATCTAGACACGAAGAGGTGGCAGCAATTGGGAACCTCATTACAAGGCTTATACAAGAGAAAGTTACTTACCTTGTGCAGCAACAAGGCTTGTTTGATGTATTCCCCCCTCCCCTCCACTGATGCTCCCCTATAGGCAATCACATGTCCCTAATCGGTGATTATTTTAGATAGCAGTGTCTTTCTGGCCTGTACATGCTCTGTCTCTCATGGCCTGCTTCAAGGCTATCTAGTGCTGTGCAGCTGTGGACTGAGGTGCTCCTTCCGCATTTGTATCCTGGGCCTCTTGTGCTGTAGCACATAACAGCACTATGACGGTGGATACTGAGAAGGTTGTGACCTGCAATGTAACCGAGAGCAATGTCTCCTCTTGTATCCTACAGTATAGATTCCCAGGGAGCATAGCATGGCCTGGGAATCCTTTAGGACATGAAGAGAGGTGTCAGTCTTGTCAGCAAAGAGGTTGGGCCCTTTGAAGGAAAGATCTCAACTATAATCTGTACCTCTTTGAGCAACCTGCCTCATCATCACTTCTCTGGGGACTGAGCAGTTCACTGTATCTGTCATGTCCAGTACAGTCAGTAGTGCAGGTCTGGCCACTAACTCCCACAAATGCCTGAAAGTGCTCTTTTTGCACCTCTTGTTTGGTGAATGCACTGAGTTTTCCATAATTAATAAAATCGTATTTGGCCATGACAGCTTGGTAATGTGTGATCCTGAACTGCAATGTCACTTCCTTCCAAAGAGAGCTAGCCTTTTCCAATCTCAATTATATGGAGTTGGCTTGGGGTGATGTTGGCTGCTGCATGCATTAATTACTTCTACTATGATCGAAATGAGTTGAGGATTTGAAAACAGAAAGTCTGCCTCTTTGGGAGGGACATAATATTTTTTATCAGAGGGGTGGCCGTGTTAGTCTGGATCTGCAAAAGCGACAAGGAGTCCTGTGGCACCTTATAGACTAACAGATGTATTGGAGCATAAGCTTTCATGGATAAAGACCTACTTTGTCAGATGTAGCTGACGAAGTGGGTCTTTGCCCACGAAAGCTTATGTTCCAATACATCTGTTAGTCTATAAGGTGCCACAGGACTCCTTGTCAATAATATTTTCTGTTGGCTCTCTCGGAGATTTGGGCAATGGAAGTTGGTGTCTGCAAAATGACTTTGGCGGGATCCACGCTGGTGAGGTGTATCTGCTTCCTCTTACAGGACAAATTACAGCTCATCTGCCACTCACTCAGTAAAATCTTGAAAATTCTTAAAATCAGCAGCTACTGACGGAAGGGATGAATTACAGCCTCATGTGGTGAAGATGAGATGTTTTCTGGAGAGGAAGCTTTTTCTTGTCTGTCAAAAGTTTCCTCCCCCTCTAGCTCAAGGGCTCTAGATAGAGAAGTTATAGGAAAGTGACTGGCTGACTCTCTTGAAGAGACAATGGACGCCCACAAAGGAACCCAGAACAGCCACTGCATCAGAGTGAGGAGGACCCAAGTATTGCGAGGATGGGCCGTGATGAGAGACCAGGGAAAAACATTCTCTTGGTCATGGGGAGGCTTGTCCCTGGGCAAAGGTAATGCTCACCAGGGTCTTGACAGTAAATAGCTCGGTGCCTGGGGTGACTCCAGACATCAAGATCTGCTCGGTCCCAGGGTCCTGTACTGAGTAACAGGTACTGTGGATATCAGTGACCTCCTGATCTCAAGGGTACCTGAACTCTTGAAGTGCTGTTGCCTCACTTGGTAATGTGGAGGACTATCCAAGTTGCCAGTAACGATGGTGGAATTCTCCAAGGATGGGAACTCTGCCACACTTAGTGCTGGTGCTTTACTCAGTGCTGCTCCCTAGGAAGTGGTGCAGACTTTGTCGATCTCTGGAGGGGGTGCTATGCTGCCCCAGAGATTGAGCCCCAGCATCTCTAGGCAGTTTGGATAATCTCATAACAAAGGTGCCCTGAGGGTTCTGGGCTTCAGAGACACTGGTAGTGAGGTGGCCAAGAACACGGGTATTGTTGATTTTCCTCCCATGATTCTACCCCATGGAACCTGAAGGTTCCAGCGATGATGTGTGTCCTAGAGAAGATCCAGCTGGCAGCTGATATGCACTGTTCATCAGGAGGAGTTTTAATTTTGGCTGCTGGCTTTTTCAAGACCTCACCATGAGCTGCTGACAGAGGATGCACTTTTATGGGATGCATGATTCTTCCAGACACTTTAAAACAGTAAGAGTGCTCATTTCTGACTAGGATCACTTCTTTGCAGGAGGGGAACCTCCTGAAACTGGGGAGCTAGACATGTCCCCAGGATAGGCCTATCACTCTGGCAAAGTGAGGAATCCAAAAGCTGGTTCCTCTTCTTTCTTAAACAGAGAAGTTAGAAAGTTTAAACCACTACACACTGCTAAAAAGACAGGAAACATAAAAGTTATTTTCGTTTGTTTTTTTTAAATCTCAGTGGGATAAATGGAAACTCTAGCTATTAAGGGAAACAAAGGCAGTAGCATAAGTAATAATAGTTTTAACGACACAGAGAAAGACGTTCCAACCACACACTCTGAGACCAGAGGTGGCTGAGAAAGCACTTGGGATGGTATTTGCCTTTGCAATGCTAGACAGACTTTAGGCGGACCACGAGGAAGAATGCATGGACATTGATACCTTAAATCTACAATTGGGGCTCATATCCTTCTACAGTGGAGCACCTGTAAGGACACTACTTGAAGAATACAAGAACTATGTTACATGTGGATTCAGGATAGGACAGAAAAGTTGAAGGAAAAGGAGAATGCTACTAACTTGCCTACTACAGATTTTTTTCACCTCACTGGCTCAGATATTGTTCCCTTACCTTTAATAAAACACAGTAATGTTCCAGTAATGGAAATTTGAGAGAGACTGGGGAGGTTTGAATAGCAAGAGAATTGCCCCATACAACATACACGAGCAGACAAACAATTCTGCTCTAAACAGGAAAAGGATACAATGCGCACTTCATGGAGAGCCCACTTCTGTTTCAGGAACTCAATGAGGCTGGAGACCTTCCGATGTAACTCCACTATCATTCTGCACAGGAGAGAAACAATGCAAGAAAACTGAGAACACAGCAGAAACTCAAAGCACAACCAGCTGCCAATACAAAATCAAGGAGAGAAATTGGACCGGCACAGCATAAACCCATCTAGATATTTGTATAAGTTTACAACAGGCTACACAAAAAGCATTAGCAAAGATAATACAAACTAACATTTCATACCGACAAAATAAGAAAGCAAACAAATGTTCAGTAATATTGGGTTGTGACACTTACATTTTTAGGTCTGATTTTATAAACAAATAATTTTTAAGTGAGCTGGGGCTACACAAGACATATCAGACTCCTGAAAGGGGTATAGTATTCTGGAAAGGTTGAGAACCACTGCACTACAGTCAAGCATTTTTGCAGACAAGCACAAATGCTTTCAGGATCAGCAGATTTAACCATGATGGCTCTGGACTGATTATTAGTAAAAATTGTGATTTAACTCTTTGAAACCCTGTTGGCAGATAGAATGGTACCAGTAGAGGATAAATCCTCAACGGAGAGTGAATGAAGCTGGAAAAATTCCTTGTACCACACCCATGAATTTCCTCCCTTCATTCTCAACATATAAGACCCATCTTGCCCTTGGGTACCTGAGCCGTGGATTCTGGGCAAGGCTCTGTACCCGAGCCCATGCATGATTATTTCGTGGCTGTAACTCCACAGGGACCCTCAGAGGAAGACGCACTGGCTTCTGATCCTCCTCATCACTAATGCCTAAGGGAAGAAGGAGAGCAAAACAATAGATCAAAGCAGACAGATGTTCCTGACACGTGCAACTCTGTCAGAATTGAGCTAAATGTTCAGTCACATTAATTCAAAATTATACGTGGGGAAAGCATCATAAGAGCACCTGCGAGGCTCATATTCACCTGCAAAACCTTCTTCTTCAGATTACCTCCAGTTCTGATACACCACTTATCTTTGGACACTGAAATTGTATGACAGCTGACAGCTGATTAAGTAGTGTGATGTCAAAAAACAGATGGCTGAAAACTGACAAGTGTGATCGTTCAGATCTTTAAACTTGCATTTAATATTGCTCACGGATGAAAGCGTGCACTATAGTGAGGTAGAAAGAGTAAAGAATATCTGAAATGTTCAATGCGAAGCAACATGCTGTTCATTTGCCGGCTCCGGGATGAAGACAGCCATCCACACAAAGAACAGCCTGAGGAAAAGTCAGCTTTGTGCCTTAAGACTGCACTAGATCCAAGGCCACGTGATCCAATGATAAAAAATCATTAGCTGACCCTTTCCCACAAGATGAGTCAGGGCCACTGCCCCCTGCCTGTGGGACTGGCACACTGGCAGCTCCATGCAGTGATCGCGTGTCCTGCTCCTATCAGCCACTGCCCCGTTGCGCTGTGGAACAAGAGGTGCTGCAACTCTTTGGTGCAGCCACTCTGCAGCACATCTAGTACAGCAGCTGGCAGGAGCAGGACACTCAAGCCATTTCACTGACCCTATGAGGAGAGGTAGCCTGACCTTGAGTGGGGCAGGTTGTTTTCTGATCTGACCAAAACCCGACACATAGTCTGGTCCTTTCAGGTTTATCAGGTTGCAGGGCTCTCAGCTGGAGATGCAAAACAAAGAGATTCTCTCCAAAACAGCAACTTCCTGTCCAGTTTCTCTATGCACTGCAAGCAGCCAGCATCAGATCTCATTATCTATGGAAGTGGATGTTTCTCAAAGCTGTATCACTGGTGAGGAAAATGAATGGGGCAGCTAGAGAACAGAAACATCCTGTATCCCAAAGGAACCTGAAATAGCATGAACTCCCTTGCCAGAGGGGTACATTCAAAAACTCCCCACTGCCACTCACTCTCCTGAGCATCTGCTGCAACATACATACCATCTGGGTCACAAAGTTTCTTCAATGCCCTGCACATTGGAGCTTTGATTCGAAGGTTTCTCCCTTTGTAGCGAACAGTTGTGGCCCTGAGTACATTTGAAAGAGAAATATTTATAGGCACCACGAGCAAAGCAACATCTATACAGTTCAGTGAAAAAGTTGGATACAAAGAATCCTCCATGACTGGGCAGGACAGGAATGCAAGGGGTTGCTGAGCAGGAATCCAGGCTTACAAGGGCATGACAAGGCCTTTGCCAGAAGTGACTCTTGTACCCCTGCACTACTAGACTCACAGGAAGCGCAATACACGAGGCTGCCCATTGAGTGAGGGACCCTATATGAGAAACAGGTTTTAATTCTTTGTCCCATTGGCCAGAGATGATCCTCAGAGCCAGCCCCTCTCATTCTGGGGTGGCCATACAAGACCACTGTTGTGTCTGACTCTTCCCCCCACCCTCCCACCCCAAACAATTGCACCACTATGCACAGAGCCTGCCGGAAGATTCTGAAGCATCTCAGAGGATTCTTTGCATGCTCTGAAATCTAAAGGCCATCCTCAAGCTCCTCCCTATCGTAAATGAAGCCGAGCTGCTTGTGCTGGTGTCTGTGAACAGTAAATATTTACAATATGGGCAGACTGTCTTTTGGCTCCAACACCACATCAATATGCATAAGTCTCTGGAGAGGTAAGATGGCAATGTCTGTTTCCCGAATGGGAAAAGTGTTGCTTTTAAACCTCTTACTCCACTCCCTGTAGGCTGACCAGTCCTCTGGTTACAGGCACATGATGCAGGGCTGACAGCCCTGAGCAGCAGATGGTAGTAACCAGAAGTGGAATCCAGATGTGGAAAGGCTGGCTGAACTGAAGACCCTGCAGACTGTGAGGGGAAGCAAAGGAGTGCTGGAGACTGCCCCTATAGCAAGAGCCACCTTCGAAAGATGGCCCTGCAGAGTGTTCCTAAACTAGGCTGCTAACATGGGGGCTGTGGAAACTAAGCAGGACTAGGGGTGATGCCACAGGTCAAATAATGAAGTAGATCCAGATGTCTGAACCGTTAAGCTGCAGGCCTCTCCAGATTCAGAAACTTCAGAGCTGACAGGGTAGATTTTCCTTTGACTCAGTTGTCAGAAGACAGGAGAACTCTTTTTGTACTGGCATCTGTTGATAGAACTTTGTGATAGAAAAGCGGTGATGACTGATTCCTTAAAAAACAAACCCTCTCAAATGAAATAAAAAACCCTTTCTTGCTTGAAACAAAAGCTACTTGCTAAGCTGCAGAACAGTGCTTCCTATCCTCGGTCTGCTGTCAGCCACGCGGCCTTCTCCAACACACAGGGGCTGCTATTCCTCCCACTGATGCACTGTACTTTAACTGCTATAAATAGAGCATTGCTGCCCTTTCTTAGATTAACCAAAACCTGGAATTGTTTGGAGCCTCCTATTAATTCCAGAGCTCTGTTTCTGGCAGGGACCGATCCCTGATGCCTCAGACCCGGCTGTTTCTGTCATGCAGCAGTTGAAGAATGAGATTCCTTCCTGACCTCTGCAGCAGAGATTGTGCCCCCCCCCCCACAACTTGAGTTTTGATCCCCTTATCCTTGCTACAGATATTACTGATCATGAAGTTGAGGGGTCCCCTTGAAAAATCAACCTCCTGTAGATTTACATAAGAACGGCCAGACTGGTCCGACCAAAGGCCCACCCAGCCCAGTGTCCTGTCTGCCCACAGTGGCCAATGCCAGGTGCCCCAGAGGGAGGGAACCGAACAGGGAATGATCAAGCGATCTCCCTCCTGCCATCCATCTCCACCCTCTGACACACAGAGGCTGGGGACACCGTTCCTTACCCATCCTGGCTAATAGCCATCAATGGACTTAACCTCCATGAATGTATCTACTTCTCTTAACCCCTGTTATAGTCCTAGCCTCCTCAGGCAAGGAGTTCCACAGATTGACTATGCGCTGTGCAAAGAAGAATGTCGTTTTATTTGTTTTAAACATGCTGTCCATTAATTTCATTTGGTGGCCTCTAGTTCTTCTATTATGGGAACAAGTAAATAACTTTCCTTTCCTTATTCACTTTCTCCACACCACTCATGATTTTATAGACCTCTATCATATCCCCCCTTAGTCTACTCTTTTCCAAACTGAAAAGTCCCAGTCTCTTTAATCTCTCCTCATAAGAGACCTGTTCCAAACCCCTAATCATTAAATACAAACAAGGACAGAACTGGCATGAATGAACATCATTCACAAGGACTGAAATCATACTCTCTCTCACTGTCCTCTAGGAAGATAACAAACCCAGATGAGAATGCTTCTAACAGACTGTTTTGCCTGAGTTTAGCTAGCGAACATTTTGTTTTGGGCAAGCATAGAACCACCTCCTTGTGTCAGACTCATCAGATATGAGGAGTATGATGTGTATGATGTCAAGTACCCACTTTTCCACTACAGACTCAAGTTTCAAATTTCCACTGGTGTTTGAGGACCTACAAAGGTTTACAAATATTTGTGATAGTCACAGTCCTGCCAGGAATATCACAGCATTGAGAATTCTATCCTAAGCTATGCTGTGTGGAATGGGAAATGAGTTTGGAAAGATCTAGTCTGCAGTCAACAAAAAGTTCTCGAGATCTGTCATCTTCGTTCAATATTTATTATTTGTCCTTCCCTCAAAATAGCAATAACAAAAACTTAAATGAATTGCAAGGTTGTCTACTTTTATAGTAACTCTTACAAATGTCCTTGCATTCTGATACTTTGTAACCTTCTAAAGCACTAATTTATAGGAGATTCACAATGCTTCCAGCAACAGAAATACACCAAAGTCCTGTCTATGCTAGGTAAAAAGGTATCACAACTAGGAATGTTAGTGGCTAGCTGGATAACCATGTAACTGATAAGCAATTGCTTACCGGTTAACCGCAACAACCCCCACTCCGTGCACTCTGCATTTAAAACTTGAGCTGGCAGGCTAGCTCCGATATAGAGGCAGCAGCACCACGCGGCAGGGGAAAAGCCAGTCCGTGCAGGGAGCCGGTTTAAAAATCAGCTCCTGCCTGCCTCCCTGCACTGGTGCCTCTATCAGAGGCAGCAGCACAAAAGTGGCAGGCAGCAGCTGGCATGTGCAGAAAGCCAGCTTTTAAACCAGTTCCCCATGCATACCAGCTCCCACGGAACCGCCTCCCCCCACACGTAAATACTGACATTTTCAGTGGTTACATATTTACCTAAATAAACGCATTTTAACATCCCTAGTTTTTTGCAAAGGGAAATCATTCCTCACCAATCTACTAGAATTCTTTTTTTTTGGGAGAGGGCGTCAACAAAGTACGTGGAAAAAAGGGAACCAGTGGATATAGTGTATTTAGATTTTCAGAAAGTCTTTGACAAGGTCCCTCAGCAAAGGCTCTTAAGCAAAGTAAGCTGTTAAGCGATAAGAGGGAAGATCCTCTCGTGGATTGATAACTAGCTAAAAAGGAACAAAAGGTCAGTTTTCAGAATGGAGAAGTAACTAGTGATGTCCCTCAGGAGTCCATACATATTCATAAATAATCTGAAGATGGAGTAAACAGTGAAGTGGCAAAATTTGCAGATGATATGAAATTGCTCGATTGTTAAGCCTAAAGCAGACTGTCGTGAGTTTCAAAACGATCTCACAAAACTAGGCGACTGGGCAACAAAATGGCAGATGAATTTTCATGTTGATAAATGCAAAGCAATGCATATTGGAAAATAAAATCCCAATTAAATTTATAAAATGATGGGAACTAAATCAGTTGTTATCTCTCAAGAGAGATCTTGAAGTCATTGTGGATAGTTCTCTGAAAAACACTCACTCAATGTACAGCAGTCATCGAAAAAGCAAACAATGTTAGAAATAATTTGTAAAAGAATAATAAAACAGAGAATATTATACTGCCTCTATTTAAATCCATGGTATGCCCACATCTTGAATACTGCATGTGGATGTGGCCACGTAATCTTAAAAAAAAAAAAAAAAAAAAAAGATATTTTGGCATTGGAAAAAGTTCAGAAAAGGGCAACAAAAATTATGAGCGGGGAATGGCTGCTATATGAGAAGAGATTATGGAGACTGGGACTTTTCAGCTTGGAAAAAGAGATGACTAAGGGGGAGGGGGATAGGATAAATGTCTAGAAAATCATGACTGATGTGGAGATAGTGAATAAGGAAAAGTTATTTACTTGTTCCCATAATACAAGAACTAGGGGCCACCACATGAAATTAATAGGCAGCAGGTTTAAAAACAAACAATAGGAAGTATTTCTTCACATAAAGCACAATCATGTGGAATTCCTTGTCAAAGGACATTGTGAACACAAGGACTTTAATAGGGCACAAAAAAGAGCTAGATAAATACATGGAGGTCCATCAATGGCTATTAGCCCAGATGGGCAGAGATGGTGTCCCTGGCCTCGGTCTGTCAGAAGCCGAGAATGGGCAACAGGGAGTGGATCATCTGATGACTGCCTGTTCTGTTTCATCCCCTGTGGAGCACCTGGCATTGGTCTCTGTCAGAAGACTAGATACTGGGCTAGACAGAGCTTTGATCTGACCCAGTACAGCCTTTCTTATGCTTTTATGTACAGTGGAAAACCATCAGCAGCATCACATCTGCACTTACAACCTGATCCAACTAAACACAGTGGAAAGTCTCCAACTAAATTTAACAAATTATGGATGAGACTAAGATTTTTGTCACTGAATCAGTGACTTCCAGAGACATCAATGACATTTTCCACTTCAGTGTTGGTGTGGAAAGCGCTGCCTACAGCTGCCTACCCACTATGGATGACTCCTGGAAATACCAGCTGTGGTCCCAGAGTTCTGAGTAGCCACAAGCCACAGATCAGAGGCAGATGAGTATCCAAAAGTCACCTACTTCAGGACAGGCCCAAGAAGTAAAACAGAACTTCACTGGTTATCACCTAGAGCCCCCAGCACATCACTGAATCTACAAACTATCCAGGAAAACAATCCTTCACTCATAGACGTTTGGGGACAAGCCAGTCCACACCTACAGACAGCTCCTCAACCTGAAGCAAATACCAGAACATACATACACCACCACAGAAACCTCTCTCTGCAACAAACCCTGTTGCCAATACTGTCCACATCTATCTACACAAGTGACACCATAACACAACCTAACCACATGAGCCACACCATCAGGGGCTTATCCACCTGCACTTCTGCTAACGTGATCTATGCCATCAAGTGCCAGCAATGCCCCTCTGCCATGTATACTGGCCAAATCAAACAGTATCTGCGCAAAAGGATAAATGGACATAAATCAGAGATTAAGAAAGGTAACACACATAATCCTGTAGGAGAACACTTTAACCTCCCTGGACATTCAGTAATAGATTTAAAAGTAGCCATCCTTCTTGAAAAAAAAAAATCAAAACCCCATTACAAAGGGAAACAGCTGAACTCCAATTCATCTGCAAATTCAGTACAACTAAATTTAACACACACACTACAAAGGCAATTTCCCCTCTCTTGATAGTCACATCTCCTCATCAGCTTCTGTGAATGAGCCACATCCACCCAGACTTGGTTAGCCTCATTAACACTAGTCCTACATTTGATAAGTAAATTCTCTCATTATATTTTTATACCTTTGCCTCTAATTTCCACTCCAATTCATCTAATCAAGTGAGATTTACCATGAAAGCTTATGCCCTAAATAAATCTGAAAATCAGATGTAAAAGTGCAGAAATAACAGAGATAGGGCAAATAAATTAATAGAATAAATCAAGAATGAAGGAACTAAGATAAAGGAAAAACTTTTGGCAGCACTACTGTTGGAGGATCACATCAAATTACTCTTTGTATTTCATGGGCTACCACAGTTTAGAAGCAAGAAATCAAATTATGATCCACTAAAACTACGTATTTACCTAGGTAGCTAATTTCTAAAGATGAGACACCTGCAAATTCATCATGTCTGTACCACAGAGCTTACTCAACACAGCCTGTGGGCCCTGCTGTACTGGATACTATTTCATGACATGAGCACTGAAAATGTTTATTCGTCACCCCTCTTTAAAATGAAAGATGAGCTAGATGAGCTCTCCTCCAAGTTTACATGTCCTGCTGTGTCAGAATAATTCTTCTTACTCCCTTTTCAGTAAGGCAGGAGATCTTAAAAAAAAAAAAAAAAAAAATCTAGGAAGGAGTCCAATAATCACTTATAGCAACTTTCAACTAGTGTAAAATTAAATATGGCTGAAGAAGCCCGCTTCCTAATTAAAACATATGGCACAGCAGGGATAGGGAGAGGAGTAGTTTAATTAATTGAAAACAACATGACAGATGAATGAGTATCAAAACAGCAACCGCCTGTAACTAAAGCAGTTAGCTTAAAAATATGCTCTTCCTGCTTTCTTCTTGATTTCTTTTAACCACTGTTGTTTCCAAACCTAACAAAGAATTGAATATTTAAAAACTGACATTCCACAAAGATTAAGAATCTTTAATACAGGCTGAACTTCTCTAATCTGGCACTGTCTAGTCAGGTAACATCTGTGGTCTGACATGATTTTAGACAGACGGGTGTCCAATAAACACGGGTGTGGCCAACTTTCCTGTAGTCCCATAAAGTTTCTTTACAGCCACCAGTCCTGGTTTTCAGTGTTCTGAGTGGCTATTTAGCTCTAATTTACCCTTAAAAATATCTTCTAACATCCCAGTAAGCAGCAGAAGTGCTGGTAATGCTGCTAGACAATGTTAACCTCCTACAGTCAGGCAAATTCTGATTAGGCACCAGTTAGGTCCCAAGGGTGCCAGACTAGAGTGATTCAACCTGTATTCATTCACATCCACAGCATTTCCCATCTGCTGAAACAGAATTTGTGGTGTTTTGGGCTTTCTTCAGTATAGATTCCCATTTGACTCAGGTATTGACAAATTAATTGAGAGTTATCAAACATGACTTAAGTATATCGACTCTAATCCTACAATATATTCAAGCACTCAATGCCCAGCAAAATCAAAGGGAGCTGAATCTCAGCACTTTGCAACATTATTCCTACACCAAACAAAGCAACACTCTGGGCTCGTCTACACTGGCCCCTTTTCCGGAAGGGGCATGTTAATTTCAGCTATCGTAGTAGGGAAATCCGCGGGGGATTTAAATATCCCCCGCGGCATTTAAATAAAAATGTCCGCCGCTTTTTTCCGGCTTTTAGAAAAGCCGGAAAAGAGCGTCTACACTGGCCCCGATCCTCCGGAAAAAGCGCCCTTTTCCGGAGGCTCTTATTCCTACTTCAAAGAGGAATTCCTACTGCAGGAGGAGTGTGCTTCAGAACTGCAGATCTGTAAGGATCTCCCAGAGCTAGAATCTAACAGTAAGTAGGAATAAGAGCCTCCGGAAAAGGGCGCTTTTTCCGGAGGATCGGGGCCAGTGTAGACGCTCTTTTCCGGCTTTTCTAAAAGCCGGAAAAAAGCGGCGGACATTTTTATTTAAATGCCGCGGGGGATATTTAAATCCCCCGCGGATTTCCCTACTACGATAGCTGAAATTAACATGCCCCTTCCGGAAAAGGGGCCAGTGTAGACGTAGCCTCTCTGTTTAACTCAGACTACAAGCAAAATTAAAATGTCTTATTCATTCTATTAACATTATCTCTAATTATTTGAGTTCTCTGATTTGTCAGAGTCTCTATATGTATTACTATTGATGGCGTTTATTTTGTTTTAAATTTCTCTCAGTTTAGACACAGAACTTCCATTTACCCACGTATATAGCCCCTATTACCACACAATTTCTAACACATTTAACATCTGCACACTGCTCTGTGTGGGTATTTGACGCACACAGAAATTAAGGGTGCGTCTACACTGCACTGTTTTTCCTGAATAATGGACGTTATTATGCAAAAACAATACTAGTGTTCACACAGCAATTGCTTTATTTAGAAAGAAAATCGAAATAACGGAGGACTTTTCCCGATGTTGCCAAACCTCATTCCATGAGGAATAACACCTTCTGAAAAAGCTCTTTTGGAAAAGGGTGTGTGTGGATGCTCCATTGCTGCTATGTCGAAATAGCTCCTCACCAGGGCCATTCTAAAGTTATTCTTCCCTAGTGCCTCCTGGGGCTCTAAATCAAGATAGCGCATCCACATTAGGGGACCCTGCCTTGGTGCCTCCCTGAAAAAGGGAGGGAAAAATATGAAACAAAATTATTTCATATTTTTCAGAATATTAAATCAAATTACAGCCCCTACAATGTAATAAATGCTCCATGCACTGGACCGTGAACTTAGCAATCAAGCTGCTTTATGGTCCAATTTTATTATTTGGGGAAAAAAAAAATCTTACTTACCCAATTTGAATGAGCTCATTAAGTTTTGTTGCATTTTTATCATCCATACCTTTAAATGAAAAAGAAAACAAAATATAATATGTTACAATTAAATAACCGGACACAAATGATAATCATGCCTGTTCACCTTATAGTTTATGATTTTGTATTAATAAAAAGCATCTTCCCATTGTAACATAATAATACCAGAGATACAATGTAAAGTTCCTGAACAGGTTCTATTCATATGCTTCAGGACAGTACAATTCAGTTTAAGACACGTAGGGTTTATACACATTCTGCTGTATTAATTACATTTCAGTCACAGATTAAAAGACCAAAGTTCATCAGTTCTATGTTTCTGGGTGTGGATCTGATATTGCAGTATTGACAGCAAAGCTTTCTATTCTTCATGTTCTGAATCTGTTGCTAAGTAGCATAGCACTGTACAGAAGCCTGAAGCCTTCACAAGTTTGGATGCAGTAAAAGAAAAAACACACATACACCCACATCCTCTGCAATGTACTACACATTTTGGAATGCCCATTGTGATAACTTGATTTATATTCTCTAAAGGTAGCAAATCCTTGTTCTATTTGCTGAAGAATTGACCTTTCCCCAACACTGCTGGAAATTATTCCTGACATGCTTTCATCCTTCCATGGCACCTGCAATTTCTGGGATTTCCAAAGGAAAGGGAAATAAGCTGATTCCAGCAAGCAGCAGAGCAGACCTGGGAGGGGGAGCTTGCTACTCAGGTCTATTGGACAAGCAGAAAGAGAATTTTCATGGTGATAGTGAAGATGGTACATAAGAGGATGCAAAAATTATTAGATAATACTACAGATGTGTAGACAACATGCACAAGTCACCAAGATGACTAGGTGACACTACTTCCAGTCACTGCCAAGCTGAGGTCAGCTGATACTCCTTGTCACAGAATGAGGAGAAGAGGGAGATACACTGTTGGTGTTTTCTACTGACAATGCAACCTGCCCTGCCTTTTTCATGAAGATCATCAACATTGCTCTTCAAGATGAATGAATACACTGAAGATCCTACCAGAACAACGTGAGTGTGAACAGTCCAAACTGTCCAATTCATGAGACAATACAGTAAAATCCCCAAGTGAGGAGAGAATATAGTAAAAAGCCCCCAGATGCAGCACTATACAGCAAGAATTTAAATGATCCACTGATGATGCCTTCTTGGTTGTTTATGTTATAAATAATCCAACCTTTACAAGGACATAAAAGTTAAGAATATGCTACATTTAATTCCCATATCCCACGAGCAAAGCCATACATGTAGATGCTGTACCATTCCTGTTAGGGCACTGGCCCCATACAAAATGCTTGGGACTAGACTGAATGAAACACTTGGACAAACTAGAGTAGATTGCAAAAGTTGGTTGATTTAGAAGGAATGTTACCGAACATAATGTAAGATTTATTAATTTTCAGTATTTTGTTATATAAATATTTAAGGCCTGATTCAGAGACTAGCACCATCCCAGACTGATTTTGAAGGAACAAATAATGGAAGATTCACATGATACAGTTTACATCTTCAATTATTTGATTTGCAGGAACAACCAGGTAGCCAGATGTATAAATTAAACATATTTCACCTACAAAACAGTAGATGGTTTAAAAAAAAAAAAAATCAGGCCTGTGTTTTCTGTATTGTCTACAGAAAGAAGGCTAAATAGAGATGTTAAAGAAAAAAGGAAATCCCATGTGACTGGACAAAAAAATTCTCATAGAAAAACAAACACACACTCCTTAAGAAAGCTTCACGGCAAACATCTGTACCCAGATATAATGGGCAGACATTCTGAAAGCCATCAAAGCACATCAGAGCCCTGAAGGAAGAACTCCATGATTCTACAATTGGAAAACACCCAACAATAAATTTCCATCGTAGAAGACATTTATACTCACAGCCCCCAATCTTCTTCCTTAGTTCCCCATAACAGACTAAGCCATAAAGCTCCAGGGAGGATTTTTTCAGGCCTTGAGAAAACACTGCAAAAGAAAAGAAGTGCCAAGTGAGATATACGAGACACAGAGGCTATGTCTAAACTACACCCCTCTGTCGGCAGAGGGATGTAAATCAGATGTTTCGAAAGCGCAAATGAAGCAGGGATTTAAATATTTAAATCCCTGCTTCATTTGCGCTTTCGAAACATCTGATTTACATCCCTCTGCCGACAGGGGTGTAGTTTAGATGTAGCCAGAGAGAAAGAACCCTCACTGCAGATATGCCATGAGTCACAATATACCATGTATCTTTCCAACAAAAACACCCTCAATGAAAGGCACAAAAATCCACATATTTAATGAATACACAAAGATCTCTCTGCAGATAGCACTAAGTCCAATTTCACTGTAATGCCAAGTCACAGGAGTGTATACTTCAAAACTGTGGTTTTATGTCTGGGAAACCCAACATTTTTATATAGGATCAAAACAGATTTCACAGAATTTTAACAAACAGTCTTTCAGCAAAATAAGCTCATGTTAGCTGTGACAATTTGCTATTACTCCACAACTCTATCATCACATTATGGCTACAGTCAAATTCAGTTTCAAGACACACTGCTGTCTTCTGGAAAATCCAAACGTGTTCAGTGACTGACTGACTGACTGACACACACACAATCTGTAATATACAAGTACATCTTGACATTTTATATATGTATATTTTCTAATTCTTGGGCAATATGCAGGATTTTTTCTTCCAAAAAGAAAATACATTAGTGTTTGCATTTTACTTGTATTGTGGTAGCATATATTCATGGCTGGTGGTAAAAATATCCTTTGGCATACAAGTCAGATAAAGAAATATTTACATCCTATGCTGCAGTAAGTACTGCATTTTTCTTTGATTTACAGCCTACCAATAACTCCAAAATTCAGCCATATGCATTTTCACCAGTACTCAAAAATTTAGCCACATGCTTCACAGATTCTTAAACCTCTACCACAAGCAACTAAGATGGCTTTATGCCTTGTAGAGTTAGGGATATTACCTTCATTTATTCGTTTCTGCTTACCCAGCCCAAAACTGACCATCTATCTTGGAAGGACTTCTGAAGTTATATGGAGATAGGTTTCTTCCAATGCTGGATTTGCAGGGTCATTAAACTAAACTGTGGCCATCTTCTGTATATAGAGAGAACACTCAAAGAATATCTATGCTAACTGTGCTTTACAAATGGAAATCCTCTTCAACATCCTAATCTTAGGGAGAAGAACAATCAATTTTTAAAAGAGATTTTACTACGGAGCATTTATTTATATGTTTCTTCTGCTTTCCCCAGAAGCATGTTTTAACACATGCTATAGAACATTTGGAATTGGTCATCAGCACTGAAAGTCTTACGTTTCTCTCAGACAAGCACATTTCATTAGCAAGAGTGGTTATACTGGTAAAAATTAATGGGATGAACTAGAGATGTTAAATTTAGATTATTTGGCTAACTGAATTGTCAATGCAATTTGTATCAATTGTTCAATTAGTCAATAAGGGCACCTCCACCTTTGAAGTGTAGCAACAGTCCCAGGGCTGTTGCTACCTTTTGAAGGCAAAAGCTCTGCGGGGAGCATGGAGCCAGCAGGGGGACTCAAGCAGTTCCCACTGACCCTATGCGTCACGCAGTGTTTCAAAGTGGTAGTGCAGCATGGAGCCCGGAGTCAGCAGGGGAGCTGACTCCAGGCTCTGTGCAGCACTACTGCTTTGAAGCACTCCTTCCTCTTTCCCCCCTTGCTGCCTCTTTCAGATAGAGGCAGCGGTGGGGCAGGGGGAACCACTAGTCGACTAGCGTGCCGAGTATCCGCTAAGCATTTGCTTATCAGATAGTCGACTAGTCATTCACATCCTTAGGATGAACTGATTGCGGGGACTATCACAAAAGTTAAAGAATTGTTTAAGGGCAAATGTATTTAGCCACCTTCTAGATAGAACAATACACAACTAGATTACAGGATCAGTTGGCTATGACAGCTAAGGGGACCTGTACTTGCTGCTCAACTTGCTAAGAGGCACTCCTGATTAGTTCTTTTGAATATTGGAAGATACTACATTTTAATGGAATTCACACACTGTGATACAGATTTTTTTTTATATCCATCATTTAGACAAGGTTATTTGCAGCAGTCCTGGATCCTGGTATTTGTCTATACTTACGTTTAAAGCACAGTCATAACAGTGCTCTACGTAAACCACCTCTGAGGGGCATAGCTAACAGCGCTGGGAGTGTGGCTCCCAGACTTGTGGCCTGGTTCACACTGGCTCTTTACAGTGCTGTAACTTGCTGTGCTCAGGGAGATATTTTTTCATACCCCTGAGCCAGAAAGTGACAACACTGCATAAAGTGTCAGTTTCACCTTTACAAAGTACATATAATTCAAGTGAATTCATAAAACATTCCCCTCAGCACAGCAAGTTACAGCACTGTAAAGAGCCAGTGTGAACCAGGCTACAATGCTGGGAGCCATGCTCCCAGTCTCCCAGCACTAGTCAAGATGACAGACTTGCTACTCATCTAGATGATGGACTTAAAAAAAAAAAATCTAATTCCACTAAAATGTAGTATCTTCTAACACTCAGGACTTCAGCACTAATTACCATGACAAGCAGTTTCCCCACTACTGTCCAACAAAGAGGGAGAGAACATACAGGCTACGTCTACACTGGCCCCTTTTCTGGAAGGGGCATGTAAATTTCAGCAGTCGTCGTAGGGAAATCCGCGGGGGATTTAAATATCCCCCGCGGCATTTAAATAAAAATGTCTGCCGCTTTTTTCCGGCTTTTAAAAAAGCCGGAAAAGAGCGTCTACACTGGCCCCCATCCTCCGGAAAAAGCGCCCTTTTCCGGAGGCTCTTATTCTTACTTTGAAGTAAGAATAAGAGCCTCCGCTCTTCGCTTCTCCAGACTAAACAGACCCAACTCCCTCAGCCTCTCCTCATAGGTCATATGCTCCCTCCGGAAAAGGGCGCTTTTTCCGGAGGATCGGGGCCAGTCTAGACGCTCTTTTCCGGCTTTTTTAAAAGCCGGAAAAAAGCGGCGGACATTTTTATTTAAATGCCGCGGGGGATATTTAAATCCCCCGCGGATTTCCCTACGACGACTGCTGAAATTTACATGCCCCTTCCGGAAAAGGGGCCAGTGTAGACGTAGCCACAATGCTTAGGATTCTTGCATTGTTGATTCACTGAAATAAAGTAACTTAGAGGTATATTAAATGGATGAGTGCAAGAAAAGTTGAATTTTTCAGTAATATATTAACATGAGAGATGTAAAATCCCATTTAATCAATTAACAGGTGAAATGTAATGCTTAACTGGCCCCTGGCCCACAGTATGGCCCAGCAGCCTGGCACGGACCACTCCCCAAGGCATGCTGGGCCTGGCTAGGCTGGAGATGAAGGTCTGCTTCAGCCCAGCCAGGCCCACCACACTGCGGCTGCTCTACCCCAGGTCTGGTCGGGTCTACCTTACTATGGATGGGAGGCTGCTCCAGCTAGGCCACCAGTAACTAGTTATTGGTAAGCACCACTCTTAACAGGAGATGCTTTCCAGGTAATGGTTAACTGTTCCCCAGCTGCAGCTGCCATGGGCACAGGGCTGCTCCAGCCCTGCATGTCGCTGGAGCACACTACCTCTGTTTAATCAGCTAACTGGTTAAACTTAACATTTAATTAGTTAACTAAACAGGATATTACATCCCTAGTTAACACGCAGACAATTTTCTTCTTGCTGGATTTTGCTTGGCTCAAGAATTTGGGATTACTGATGTCATGTCTAGCTACAATGCTCTGCCTGGCTAACATCCATGTTGAACCCTTGGAATGGTGACATGCAGAATATGTTGGAAGATACAGCTCTTATCTTTCTGCTGTTTAAGGTCAATAGTTAGGTGGTCATTTATTATACTTGTGTGGGTTCAGTAACAGAGGAATGGTCTTATTTTGCAGATAGCTGTTGGAAAATATTTTGTTTTAAATTTGTGAGTGAGCCTACTTGTGGCCTTGACAAAAACAGTACAAAGTATTCAGTGATATCTTAAGAGTACATGATATTTATTTCTCTTCATCATTTCTTGTGCACTCAGACCATATAAAAAGACAGAACTCCAACTCCCACAAGAAGGAAGACTCATTCCAGAACCTCAGCTGGCCATGGAATCCACTTCCTCTGCATACTCACCATTATCAAAATCAATATATTTAGAGATCTTGTGCCAGGTGCGGTAGTAGAAGTGCCGGACCTGCTCTTTGTTCTTCACCATACTTGCTGGTTTGCCTTTCTTCTTGTACTTCAGGGCAATATTGTTCTGAATAGCTTCAAAGTCCTTCCCGTGCTGAAAAAGTACACGATTCAGTAAAGCTCTATATTAAAGAATTGAGATTATGTTGCTGCTTTGCAGCAAAATTATATATACTTTATTTCTGACGGTTGGAATAGGGGCAACATATGTATTTTTCCCCACTGCAAACAATTTACATCACTGTTAAATTGTGTTTTTATAACAAACGTTTTATAAATGCAAATAAAATACAAAACATCATATGATTTAATTTTAGCCGCTTCTGTGTTTATTATGCAA